GCGAGCGAGAGCGAAGCCTCGGACCAGGTAGTTCCACTCAAAATCCCATTGAGCCAGTAAACCATCTACCAATATTCGGACACGCATGGCATTTTCTTTTTCGGCGATCTTTGCCTCATGTTTGTGCTCGCCACTACCTCGTCTTTGATTCCTTTGTGTGCCTCTCCGTCGACTTGGCAATAATTTCAATAAAGCGCAGCTTATGCTCCCAATGTTCGTCTTATCCATTTCTGTTAGTTTACTTGGTAGATGTTTGTGGCCAACACCGTCACGTTGACTCTGAGGGATTTCGATGCATTCGCAATGTAATATCAGGGAACATGTGGATTAATACTTGTAGCAGCGTTCTCTATTTGAGACGAATTGTCAGATTAATTTTACACGCTCTCAGATGTCGTTTTCGTGGTCTTCCACACTGTCCTGATCAGGAGACGCCCACGGATTCGGTAGCTCAAATACTTTCTAGGATGTAGTCTTTCCTTTGGATGTAATCCGTGTACATTTATTCATCGCAATTTTGGGATATATTGCGCGTGATTCCTGGAGAGGACGCTCACATATTTCATGCAATATCTTCTGGGCAGTTTATTAGATGGCTTCAGCTCGAAAGTCTCGATATTTCCCTATCCAGTTTTGTCGCACCTGGAAAAGCCATATATACTCCTTCAACCGTGGACCTCATGAGTTCCGGGACAACACATTCCCCGTCTCCAACATCGGGTATACCTACCATGCATATTGGTATCATACCTGTCATATTGAGCTATCCCTGTACTGATAAGTAACTTGGGGTCAGCACGTCTAGTCAGCCTGGATTATTGTAACGGCTATTTAGAAGACGCTTCAAAGCAGGCAACGATTCGTCGTTCAAAACTTAGTCGAGGAAGACCGTGTATGGCACTCGGCGAATAGATCGTATCTGTTGATCCCATACTCATCGGTGGTAAATGCAATACGGGAGATTGTGTTTGCAATAGAATCGTGCAATCTTTTAATTGACACGGAGTTGTAACATGAATCTCTCAGTCAAACTTGGCGTTTATTTACCAGTGGAACACTGTCAAGCAAGTCAGATCACCCCAGAGTGCTCGAAACCTACCGAGTTAATAAAACTCCGCCAAATGGCAGTAGGCAAGCCGTCAAGCTTCCGCCAATAAAGCCAATTCCCGAGAGAACGCTCAAGCAGTCAATCAACTCAGCAACGGCCGATGAATATTCACGCACCCCACAGAACGACGATCGATGAGTTTCAGCGTTCACGTATTTCGTCGAAGCACGGTCGATGAGGACGTGCGATCACTAATCGCCCATCAGACAGACTAGATGAATATCAGAAATGCTCTCTAAATACCGCGAAGGCCTTGCAACATTTACACTCGCTGGTTCGCAGGAAAGCTGTTGTTTCCATGTTGGCAATTTTTTTCCTACGCGAAGGTACTGAGGCTGGGACAGCATTTGGTTACAACTGACACGAGAGAGTGATTTGAAAATGGATCCACACATTATTTATATTCCATCGAAAATTTTCTACTTTCACAAATTCAGAATAGTGCGAGTCAGGCAGTGATTTCAACGCTGTGCATGGCTAGTGAAACGAACTTCCATTATGAGGCCGATGATAGTAAGACTTACGATCCGTGGTTCAAACTTTCAGAAAATATTTTCAGTCTAACTGAAGCACAAGGATGATGCTCAGTGAGTGCGCAGTTCGCTCAGAAGACTTGGCAAAACGGAGCACACACGTTATTCCAAATCTACTCTGAGCTTTGGCGAAACCGTGCAGCGAATCTCAGGCATTTCCGCAAAGCGTTCACCTTTATGTAATATTCCCTATCGATGTATGAAATTAGCGAAAAAGGGTCTCAACAATACCGGTCAAATTAATCGTGCAAATTATTCAAGGAGACGGAACAGCATAGATATGTTTTCCATCACCGCCTTGAATATTTACCAGTGAGTCACAAAAATATGACGTGAAGTGTGATCCCAACAGTTAAGCCCTATTCATTCAAGCATTTCCCAATTTCATCAAGTCGAGTAAGTTCAACGCTGCGCATGACGATTGGCAACGAAGGAATAAATGGCTTCACTGACAGCATTTGATCAGAAAAACCCGAATACTTATTCGACTTATTCGCATTCGTTTCGTCTTCGTTTCGTCGTAGGGAATGGCTTAGTGGGGAAATCACACGCATCTGTATACTCACTCAATCTTACGTATTTCAGGTTGCCTTTGAAATACGTGCCTCATGTAATTCTTATCTATTCGCCTTTTGATCATGCATCCGTGTTGTCAGTTGGGGATTAGTGGACAAATTTGTGCCCTTTAATGCAGGGCTGGTGACCAAGACACCGATGTTCCTTTGTACGGTTCTAGTTTAGGAATTTGCAAATCAATATTTGGCCGCAAAAGCTTTACTCAGAAATTTTAAATTTTTGACACAACTACTACTTACTCAGTGGGTCTTGTAAAAATACGATTTCAATATCTCCCTCATGCAGAAACGGGTAAGAGGAATCCCCCCGGATTTCACCTGAAACTTCCCATTTATTTCATTGATTCCGATTTTACACCCACTATTCTTGTATTTGACTCAACCGAAACTGAACGGAAATGTGGTGGAAATTATCATCGAAAGATATCTATAATTAACCGGGGTTCACATTAGTACGTGGTTGATGTATTTGTGCATGCATCCCAAGGGTAAATACTGGGAAGAATGACTAGAGAAGAAGGAAGTATCAAAAAGACCACATACATTAGCAAATAATCGCCTATCATAAAATTTACAAAATTGACCAAGACAAACCTGTTTTCAGTTAATCAACTGCTCAAACAAAATGTTTACTGTGTTCCGTGAGGCAAGGCAAATAGCAGATTGTTGAATTTCTCACAACCATCTTGTAGGTCATGTTGACCTATTGTACGTGGTCAAAACGAGCCATGCAATGATGTCTCTCGGAGAATGAAGGATATATAAGGAGGCCGAGATTTGAAAAGCCATCTGGTACTTGTGAAGGAAAAGGCGATGAACCCTCGACGGTAAGCTACGCGTTTCCCGGTTCCTTCACTGTGCTAGCATATCACAAGTATAGGACGCCTCGCTCGCGCAACGCTGTATGCTTTTTAACTAATTCTTGACGCGTAACTCCTAAAATAAATTTGATAATCCTTCAAACTATTCCAAATTCTGACCTCCTTAAATATGTCTGCATTTCTACGATCATCCGCCTGTTATATGTTGAGTGTATTCAGTAGACAGTTTGCACTTGTTGGATGGGATTTTCTATCTATTTCAGGTTTCCGAAGTGCAGACCTCAATTACTGGTTTTGCTATTTACCGCTGGTAAGCTCACCATCATAGCTCACTCCGCTAGTTAATACCTTTTTCTGGGCTTGTTCATCGTTCTCCTAATGGGTCATACCATGAGCGCAGCTCAGTTTTGCCATGTATTTTGCTTGGAACATTTCAGGTCTGACATTTGTTGATGTTGCACACGTGGACAAACGCATAGTTGGTGGAACGAACGTAGTCCAAGGCACCTACACATGGGCAGTGAAATCAACTTATTTGTGGAGTGACCAGTCCATAAGTATATGTTCCGGTAGTATTTTGTCAAATAAATGGATACTAACGGCTGCTCACTGTTGTGTTCATCCACACCGTCAAGTTATTCGTTCGGTCATTGAAGCAGGGAACCCGAATGTGGCGGTAAGTTAGTTGTGGATAGAATCTCGTTCACTGTGGTGCCATTCCAAGCTAATCGTCTCTACTTCTAACCAATTTCTTGTAGGTTAATGCCATCACTGCTTACACGTAGGTTTATTTTGTAATCATTCGTATGTGCTACCGGTAAAAAGCCGTTATGATTGCACGTTGCGAGTATCTTTACAATGACTTTCCTTATGGCAAAATATCGCCAAGACACGCGCCAGTGGCGCATCAATCCCCAACGAAATGTCCACGATCACTCATGAATTCCCGATTTAGTTACACCGCCCACTGCACTCGGGTTTTGGTTGTCCATCTTTTTCTGTCTTCACAGTCAGTCAGGGATTGGTGATATGATGAAGGTTGTTCCCACTGTGCAATCGTAATGATATTCAATGCTCCGTTTAATGTTTCCATAGCTAAATATTTCCGCCTGGCTACACGCAGTATTCAAAACTCCCGGGTTATTTAATCTCTGTTGTGGGGACATGCCGTAGTAAATGTGTCCTCCCCTCCTTCGTTTTCCACAGTAATGCGGTTCCACCGAACATGCAAGTGGCACATTCGCCAACGTGTTACCCGCATGAAAACTATACTTTTGGAAACCGTGAGTCAAGATATCAGACTTCTAGGTTTTGTGGTGTTTTTTTCTAATATTCGAGTGTTGGTCGGTTGTAGTGCGGTGGGTTTCGGGATTGACCACAACGTGGCTATGAAGCATTCTTTCATTAGGTAGACCAGAACGGTATGTTTAGCAGCAAATCATGTTTCAAACCGTGTGGGGCGTTGTCGAGGCGCGGCGGATCGTTAGAAAGCCTGAATTTGAACGCTGGTACTGGCGGCCTGAACGAATATAGTTGTTACTATTTCCTCTAATCAGGGGCTTATTTTGGGGCAAAATAATTGATATCAAATACTCACCCTTTTTGAGGATTTCCCCGTCTGTTGGTTTCTGAAAAATAATGATGATTTATCAAAGAGTAGATAACAAACGAGTCTCTACTGTGTCATCGTTGTGTTAAGTAATGCGGAGACCCCAGGATGAGAGCCGATGTTGCCTCCTGGCTACCTACTCAGTCAACGAAACCGAAGAGCGCAAGACGTCAGCGACATTCCATGTCATGTGCGCCGGTCGAACATCCAAGGAGAGGGCAGGTTACTGAGAAATTGGATTACCATTATTCTGGGAATGATTGATAATCTAAGTATAGTTGTTTAACACTTGTTCCAAAAATGATATCAGGTTGTCTTGCTGGACTCTGCCCAGGATCAGTGCACGAAAATACGTTGAAAGTGAATTTAAACCACTAAACTCAAACGAAGCCAGTTAACGAGAGCAAGTAAAGATAATTCCCAGGATAATTCGTTTCAAAAATAATACATAAATCCAACCAAGCATACACATTAGTTCTTTCACCGAAAGAAGAAATTGTAAACAACACATTAAATGTTTGGTTGCTAAGTTTTTAGCGAGTGAGTGACTTCGTAATGTTCAGTCGTGATTCAGTCGCATTTGTTTATTTTTTCCAAGTTCCAATAAGAGCACGGTCGTATTAGTTTACATAGGTATTGGGATAGAAAATAAAGTTGCTACTCGCTGAACACCAGTGTGAACTGGTATTATGAATAGGCTGTAAATAGGGCTTTGGGTGAGATAACTTCAAAGAAACCATCACCGTCGGCCGAGTAATAAAAGAGCTGCTCGGAAAGAGAGAGGCAGTAGTGGATTATGCGGTCTAATACGCGAACCAATCAATCACCTGGAGTTTTTCTTTAGTGAACTGTATATCACTGTTTTAGACAAATGAAATTCCATCATTGTTAATCATGTACGCTTTCACTTTCTGAATTTCTTCTGAGTGTAGCTAAGGTATGTCAAGATGTAGGGCCGCAATCCATACCTATTCGTAAATTGATGCAATTCCGTAGGAGAGATGGATGTCTAACGAGCCGGTAGAACAGCATTCATTTCGTCTGATATGAAGGATACTTTGTGGTTACCGAAATGATTCCCGTGGTATTCATGTAAAGTAGCATAATGTTTCGTTAATTTCGACTGCAGAATTTGGTCCCATATGTCACCTGACCAAGCTGTATCTTGGGTTCATGCTCCCAACTCAGATGTCCT